GGCGCCAGGCGCCAGATAGGATATCGACATTGGTTCTTTGTTGATGATGATGAGACTATTCGAACATTGTCAATTATGAGCTTTTTCTGTGCTCTTATTTGGTGGAACTCGTGATGCAATTCTGCTATCGAGGTCACGACTATCTGGTCTCATGTGTATGGTGCTGTTTGATTTCTGAAGTTTGCTATCGCTCATTTTCCTTGCAATTTGGTACTGGAGCTGTGGTACGGTGTGCTCATCTGACGCTTGTTTTCTGTCTAAGAGGTACATGCACACGGTGTGCTAAGTGAGCGGCCGTGGGAGGTGTGTAGTAAGGAGGGCGAAGGCAAGTAAGGCGACCCAGGAGAAGAGGGGTATTGCCAGGAAGGCTAGTATGTGGTGATTATTGGGTGTTCACAGTGTGATGAGAACTATCCGATGTGTGATTGATGCTGAGGTGGAACTGCGGTGCAATGCTGGTTGTGCCGAAGCTGCGATTGGTCATCACAATCAACATCGGGCCATCTGGTGAGAATATCTGTGGTTGGGGGCAGCTATTTTGAGGTATGTTGCACCTAAGCTTATCTACCCTCTTCGAGACTTCTTACCGTGAGGATGTGTGTTCTGTCTTGAGAGTCCTCTCATGCGAGGAGTCGTGTGCGCTCAACCTTGAGAGTCGCCAGTGTTCATGTGGAGCATCTGGAAGGAGAGGGCGGAGCTATCTGAAGGGCCCTGGACGAAGCACTGGGTCACGGTCACCATGCCAACCCCCCGGGAGTAGAGCACACATGCTTTGTTGTTTTGTCCTTTGTCTGCTCGCTGCGCTATAGATGGGTTCTGAGGGGCAGGCCAGACCTATGGGAAAGATGAGTACCGGACGTCTATAAATAAGTGACGGTGGGGACCTTCCATTGGCTGTGATCGTCGTCCTGTTTGCGACGTTAAATAATTCCTGAGGACTTCAGGGGCCGTCCATAAAAACGCTCCTGATCAGCCAATCGGTCGGTGTAAGGCTCGCTACACGCGAGGATAAATAATGTGCAGGGCTGGCCAGCTCAGTAGGACTTGGGGCACAGGGGTGGGCCGTGTGCACACCTTCAGACAAGCACGCTGTTTCGGATTGCTCAGGGATGTTGACGACAAGAGACATTCGTGAAGAACTGAGGGAGGGGTAGATTCCAGGTGATAAGTTTGGGAAAGATTCCACTCTGCAAACAGCCAACCAAATGATTCTATTTTTATTTTTGATTTGTTAAATGTACAGCCATTAACATCTGACAGACAACATAATTAGAATTGTTCTCTATTCATTGTGCTTTCTGTTTTGCGAACTAGTCAAAGTAGGAATAGTTTCGTTTGTAGGAATCTGAACTTACCTGTTGAACCCGAATGTATGGTCTCTGACATGGCCACCTGTTTTTTTTTTTTTTTTGAAACAACAGGGCCTTATGGTCCTGGCTCCTTCTATTCTGGGGAGCGTCAGTCCGGTTCCTATTCCACCGGCAAGTCAAAATATACAAAACAACAATTATCAATCACACACGCTTCCTTCCGTCTGGCCGAAGGACCCCTGAGCAGCATTGATTGCTCCAGCCCGGGAGGATTGACTGCCAGCTTGCCTTGTCCCTCTCTTTCCTCTCAGATCCGGAATCCAGATCTGTCAGATAAAGCATTTGACCCTAGAAAGAGCCCGACTGTTGTCCTTGTTCACCTGGTTCTTCCCTTTATGTCACTATTGCCCACCTTCGAACAGTCAACCGCATATCTTTGGAACCAACACCCTCGGTCTGCAATATTGTTGTCCGGTCGTCAAAATTGGACCCTGGCAGGGAGCTCATTAGCTTCCGGCTCTCTAAGAAGGGACCACCCTTTTGTGGCCCCATTCGTGTCTTCCTTGTTTCACGTCATCTGTACCCCCTGGATTATGTTTATCCTCTTGCAGCCTAAGACGTGGTTAAGTCTTCCCGCGGCGTCTGATGTTGGAAGTCCCTTTCTGGAATTGAATTATGCCATTTCTCCCAGCATACCCGGTCCTGTCGCAGTTCTCCAATCTTGCCATCAACCAGCCAAGTTCTGTAAAAACTCTGTCTTTCCCTGTTCCGCTGATCTTCGTCTTCAGTCCAGGCTCGTTTGATCTTCTGCCATCTGCAAAGGATCTCAGCTTGAATCATTGCTTTAGTTTCTAACCACACCTTCTCCCGTGGATTGGATCGTCCTTCGATTGTTCGGCTGCATCTCTCCTTCCATATGACCCATAGAGTCACCTTCCTGATGAGTTCAAACCAGGACCTCTCTGCCTTCCGAGCCTGAACAGGGATGTTAGTCAAGAGGAGCAGCTGAATGGGTTGTTTGGGGAAGGGGGAAGAGAAGAGGGAGTTCCAGAGTGAAGAAGCTCTCCCCCAGAATTCGGTCGCTTCTTTACAGGTCACTAGGCAGTGTACTAGGTCTTCTACCAAGCCTTCAGAGCAGACTGAACATAATTCCGAGATGTTTGGGTCTGTGCTTTTACGTCTAATGTGTAGCCATTGGTTCACTGGCAGGGCTGCGTACACAATCAGCCATTGCAAACTTCTGATCTTGATTGGTCTGATGCGTTTGAATTTTTCCCAGTGGATTCGCGTGATTTTGTCTGCTTCYTGACCCACGAGATTCCGCCATCTGTTTTYGATAATTGGATCTGGATTTTTGGTTTTCAACGACAGTCTGTACCCAAGTTTGACTGAGTAGTAGTGGATCGGGACTTTTGACTTGAAGTTGCTGGTAGAATTTGGTTTCCAGGCCCACTCTGCTGGGTCGAACTCCAAGGATCGGATTGCCGTGTCCGGTCTGAAAATTGCCTTTGGCCATGGACCTAGGACCCTTACTTTTCTGAGAAGAAATGAATCCAGTATAGACGTTTCTACATTGTTGTTGAAAATAGCTGGCATGTCCGTATTGGAGAAGGCGACGGGGAAGGAGTGGAAGATAGCTCTAGTGTGAGAGCCTTACTGTATGTGAGAGAATTGATAGGCTCTAGTAGGGGATGTGTCTTAAATCGGAAGGCCCCATTCGCCCGGTCTCCAGGACTCATCTTTCACCAGGATATCTTTCCATTCTTGCGGGATACGATTGAGTATGTATTGGAGATTGGTCTCACGTCTGTGACAACCTTTCAGTCAGACACTGGCTTCTTGTTCCGTTATCCAATCTTTTCTGTCCTCCATCCCCACAGGTGATCTATTTTCCAAATACCATTTTTGATCCAAGATAGCCACCTTTGTTCAAGGAAAAGTGGGTTGTTGGCCTCGTTTGTTATCCATTCATTCCCGAAGAGCGGTTGTCTTAGGACTTCATCCTTGGATTTGGGTTTGTTGATCTTGTTAGGAATTATTTTCCTCCACGATCGAAACAGTGCTGGCCAGTAGGGGGTGGGTGGCCAATGGTTATTGGATCTGTTATTCCTCGTCCGATTCCTCTGACCTGTGGATATTACCCATTCTTTGTTCATTACCCAAAATAGACCTGACATGTCGTTCGGGGAGGGAACCGGGGCTATCGATCTAATACTGTCCAGTGCCAAATTGTTCCAGGCACTGTCCGGATTCATCAGCAGTTTGATTATCCATTTAATTTGCAGTGCTTTTGTTTCAGTTTCGGGGTCAATGATTCCTAGGCCCCCATTTCGTGGTTCCCTTGTGACGTAGTGCCAGACTATCTTAGATATGCCCTTATCTTTGTTAGGGTCACCCGTCCATAGGTAAATCCTGGCTCGTCTGTTCAGTTCCTTAATAGAGCTATTGGGAACTGTCCAGATAGAAGCAATGTACCACATCATTGAGAAGACCGACGTGTTGAGCACCCGCGCTCGGCCTATAAGGGAAGTGAAAGCGTTGCCCCACCTTCCGATTTTGTTAATCTGTTTGGCCAGCATGGACGGGCCCATTTGGGGCGCCAATCCTTCTTTGGTCATCAGAATACCTAGATAACGTGTGGGTGTATCCGGTGTTTGCCATGTCACAGCTGCCTCGCTTCCTTGGAGAGAAAGGGGTTCGTCCTCGGAAAGCCACCAGCCAATTGTTTTCCCCCAATTGACCCTCGTTTCTGAGGCTAACCTGAATGCTTCCATTGCTTTGGCTAGTGTTTTGAAGGAGGAGTCTGATGCTCTAATCAGGACCGTTAAGTCATCAGCGAACATGATCGCTGCAGGGAAATCCATCTGATGGGCCGAGCCTACGTCGGTACTGGCTAGTCTCTGAATTGATGGATCCTTGCGCAGGAAGGATGCGATTGCCTCCATTACGAAGAGGAAGATTGACGGCGCTAGAGGGTCTCCTTGGCGGACCGAACGGGATATCGGATAGCAATCAGACAACAATCCATTGACTTGGACACAGCCAACTGCATCCTTGTAGAGTATCCTAACCCACTTTTTGAAGTTCGGTCCGACTCCCATTCTTTCCATGCTCGCTTCCATAAAGTCCCAGTTGACTTGATCGTATGCTTTCTCGAAATCAAAGAAGAGAATGGCGGCATTTATTTTCCTTTCTCTGATTTTTCTCACTGACTCGTTCAATGTCATGACGTTGTCTAGAATATAACGGCCCAGGATGAATCCTGTTTGGTCAATGTGGAAGCACTTGTTGGTGATCTTAATGATCCGGTTAGACAAGGTCTTAGCGAGGATCTTGCATGGGAGGGTTAGCAGTGATATGGGCGTGTAGTTTCTAATGTCGTCTTTTTCGCCTTATTTGTACAGTAGTGTGATCACGCTGCTGCTGAGAAGATTGCCCAGTCCCCCCTTGGACCAACTGTCATTATAGAAGTTAAGTAAATCGCTTCCCAGCAAGGGCCATAATTTTTCCCAGAATTCTTTGTTAAGCCGTCGATTCCTGGGGTTTTGTTGTTATTCATGCTTTGTAGAGCCCTGAGTATTTCATCTGAAGTGAGCGGTTTGTCAAGCGCTTCTGCCTGATCAGGTGATATTGTTTGCTCAAGGTAGTGTAGCATTCTCCGCAGGGCCTCAATAATCCGTATAGAAACACGGAAAAGAGTTCGGAAACCCTGGGTCGGAATGCTGATGCTGGACCATGAAGATTAACAATTACAGCAACAGCCATGACAAATTACAACAGTGACAGTGGTGCTGATGAAGAGGACGAGGACGAAGAGGGGGCGACAGAGGAGGAAAATGATGAGGCTGAGGGTAATAGCAACGATGATGATAAGACTGATGATGACAATGATGACGATGACAACAACAGTGATGATGACAACCATAACGATGAGGATGATGCTGATGCTGATGATGATGCTGATGATGATGAGTAGCAGTGGGATAAGGAGGGGGAGTAGTAGTATAGCAGTTGGTGGCACAGTCACAGTCACAAGTGAGGTGGAATCTTCACAGGAAATTTGTCTACAACACATAACTAAACTCTCACACTAGGACTTTTTTGACTAAGCTCTGGACGTGATTGTAGTAAGATTCGTCCATGTCTGGCGTACTTCCAGTTAGATATATTTAAGGAAGCCCTAGTTTGAGTAGGGCCTTTAGTTGGTGGCACATGGCACCCACTCAACCAACAACCAACACTTCACCGTCCACCGGCTTAACTGCGCATATATCATGATATCGGCCACTTTGCACTAGGAATTACAGTCGAATATATGGAAGAGAGGAAAATGCACACACACAACAACGTGCAGAGAATACAGAATTTACAGGCACAGAGAATCAGGCGGTACTCACTGATGAAACTTCTGAATGATGGATGCACTGCAGCCTGCAAGGCCGCAACTGCATTTCTGACATTTGCAGAAATAACATGGCCGCAAGCGATGACAAGGAGACAAACAGAACCACTCACCAATTGTGCAATAGATTCAAAATCGTCTCCATCAAGCAAAATGTTTCTGCTATCATAAAATTATTATATTGCTTGCGGAGGCTGGGATAGGCATAACTAAGGGAAAATCAGGATGCGCAAAACTCTCTGCTGCAAAAATGAGCATTGAAGCTGATGATGATTCACTGCACTGTAAAGCAGGCAGGTGTTAGGGCACGGTAAACCAAACAGGAGGTCCTTATCTGCCACCAGAGAGAAACAACCAGCCTTGATTGACTTCTGTGGTTAGCCTCTACAAGCTTGCAATCAATTAACTGACTTGACTGGTTCATTTTTGTTCGAAACTTGTACAAGCAAACGCGCAATTGCTCTTTCCGCCCTCTCTCCATCACCTGTGTGTGTGTGTGTGTGTGTGTGTGTGTGTGTGTGTGTGTGTGTGTGTGTGTGTGTGTGTGTGTGTGTGTGTGAGAGAGAGAGAGAGAGA